CAATAATGCGCTTGAGTGGTTTTGGAACATTTGAAATGTAAACCCAATGTTCACATGTGTTTGCATAGTTTCACATGCAAATTTCAGATGATCTGAAAGTACATTTTGAGGGATCAAATGTGATTACCATGATGAATTTTACATTCACATGCGATTTGTGTTTGACATGTAAACCCAATGTTTCACATGTGATGCAAATGTCAAGCCTCAAATGATCTGAAAATGTAAAATCTTTAATTAGTCTTTGCAACTTCAGGGAACTTATCTATGCACAATCAGCTTGTAACACTCCAAAGAGAAAGGAAAATTGAAATCGCATCATATGACCCCTTTAAATGGATACCACATGAAAATCCACATTAATCTGCTCAAAATCACATTAGAAAAGCCTAAAACATATATTTTTAGCAATATTTCTCCGTATTTCATTTGAATTACAGATAAACAAACGTTGAGTCAAGATGACACCGATTTTTCGGTCTAATCACAACCGTATGTTCCAGCTCCACTCATTTTCATTTTGAATAGATAGAGATCTAAGCCAAGAGCCATCCTAAACACTCCTTTCCCCTATAATCTTGGTCTAAAAAGCCTCCCAGACCCATCGAGGCATCAAGAACGCCCCCTTTCCAACCTTTAAACGGCACTCCAGCATCTCTGACAATCTCGCAGCTCATTCCCAGACAGTCCGACGCAACGAGCACCGCACCGCATCGCTCTTTACCCCTCATCACCACGCTGGCCCTGTGACAGCCCAAGGGGTACGCTTGCATTCCTCGAGGGTTTCAAATACCACAAGAGTGCTGGGAGATATAAACAAGGGGATGCGGTCGCAGGAAAGGACGTCCCAAGGGCTTCGAATCAAACCCGTATGGGGCATCAAGTCCCTGTGAAGTGTTTATCATTGGGAGCGCTGCTTCACTAAGCATCGATGTCGAATTCATCTGCTAATTAGCTCGTTTAATTGGATTAATTAAAAAGAACGGCATGGAGATAGTACAAAATAAACACAAGGTATGGAACCCTATCTAGCCATCCTGCCCAGCAAGAGTCTGTATAGTTTTGTAAACCCACCATTCGGCCCCTAATCCGAAGCACCATGTCGTTTAATTCCACCTAATTAGGCTTAGGCAGACGTTAATTGGGATTTAGGTGAACGTGGCGCACACAGCTCAGTGGGCGCTGTCATTTTTCACAGGTGTGTGAGGATCAGGGTTACTAATCCCTTGGCCTGTTCTCAAAGACTACTTCCTGGTGGGAAATTGCCACAACTACTGGTGTTTTTTGTCAAAATTGGCTTTTTTCCCCCGATATCGTTATTAGTATTGCTGTAGCTGCTGATGATATTCTTATTACCGTTATTATTGCAAGCGCGACCACGCACGGATTTCATCATCTTGACATCATTTCATTAGGCCACATGTGAGTCGTCAAGGCCAGCGTGCAGGTCCTGAGCGGAGAGAAAAGGAGCGCCGGAGACAGATACATCGCTCACCTGCGAGAACAGAGGCCATTAATTGGCCTCTGGTGCCTGCTGTGCCCCGTCAGACACTGACAATTTATTATCTGCACTTAGGAGACCATCCATCCCAACTTCCACCACGCCACACCGCAGGGGTTAACGTGATGGATTGCATTCCCGAGACATTCCTTCGTGCTTTCTTTTTGTTTCTTACTCTCTTTCTCTCTCTCTCTGTTTTGCTGCCTTACACGCATATGGACACACCCACTCTGAGGATCAGAGAACATGTGCGGCACTTTGAGAGGATGCAAATACTCTGTGCTTCCTTTGAGAACCGCCCATTTAACCTGTCTCATGCAAACATGTACAGTTTATCTAGTTGAGATTACAATCTCTGCTACCTGGCTCAACCAGTTTGATTGGCAATGAAGTGCAAGAGAAAAGATGATGAATGGTATGCCTCAACGATTTTACAAAAAATGTCAGACATGCCTTTTAGAGTTTCTATAACTGGCCATTTCCATTTAATTGACTAATTATTTTACAATTATTTTGCATGATGCAACGATTTTACAAAAAATGTCAGACATGCCTTTTAGAGTTTCTATAACTGGCCATTTCCATTTAATTGACTAATTATTTTACAATTATTTTGCATGATGCTCCTTTGATCATATAAACTGAAGGAATACATGGAATGTTTGTACGTATAATGTTTCTGTCACACCAAAAGACCATTTAAAGTGTTTAAAGGATGTGATTTAAACGATGTGACCATCTTGCTTATTGGAAAAAAAAAGCTAATTGAAAAATGTGTAAAGTTTAAAAGGAGGAACTAATATATAAAATTGTTAAAAATTAATATTTATTTTGACATTTACTAAAAAACTACATTCAACAGTGTGAGCAAAGGTAATCTAAATGTAAAAACAGGGGAAAGGAACATGCATAATTTTTAAAATGCTAAATTATGTTTAATTGTTAAAAGTAAATATATTGCCATTATTGGATATTGTGCACGGTTGTGTATTGAAATATTCATGCATGAAGTATTGTTAGCATGTTTTCGGCCACTTTAAATTTCTACAGTCTCCAATTTGTCCTCAACACAAGCCTCTATTCACGGCCTTAAAATCTCGATTTGCTGTTTTATCAATTACGGATTGCATCTTTGGGTTAAGCGCCGCCGATTTTCAGAGGTCATGGAAGAGCTGGTGAATTCTTGACAGATGACATTCGAGCCTCTAATAGGGACAGTTTGACGTACAGTAATAAAACGGGCTCCTGCGGTGAGACATGAATCAGGGAACATGTACAGTTTATCTAGTTGAGATTACAATCTCTGCTACCTGGCTCAACCAGTTTGATTGGCAATGAAGTGCAAGAGAAAAGATGATGAATGGTATGCCTCAACGATTTTACAAAAAATGTCAGACATGCCTTTTAGAGTTTCTATAACTGGCCATTTCCATTTAATTGACTAATTATTTTACAATTATTTTGCATGATGCTCCTTTGATCATATAAACTGAAGGAATACATGGAATATTTGTACGTATAATGTTTCTGTCACACCAAAAGACCATTTAAAGTGTTTAAAGGATGTGATTTAAACGATGTGACCATCTTGCTTATTGGAAAAAAAAAGCTAATTGAAAAATGTGTAAAGTTTAAAAGGAGGAACTAAAACATGCATTTTCTTATACATGACTAATTTATCAACACCAAGCTTGATATTGATATTCTGTGCAGTCATTGAAACAATATTATCAAAAAAGCTGCATGCATAAGATAATTAGTAAATTCTGATTAAAACAGCTTAAGATGTTACAATAAAAAAAACTAAATTAACTGTTTTAAATGCTAGTGAATTTAGGACTCAAACTACCATAATTATTACAATTTTTAAATTATAATAATTTTCAAAAAACTTTATTATATTTTTGCATTAATTATTATTACTAAATTAATTATATATATAATTGTTAAAAAAAATAATATTTATTTTGACATTTGCTCAAAAATTACATTCAACCGTGTGTTCAAAGCAAGGATTAGAACAACACCATCATTCATTGTCACAAGCAGAAAACACTGCTCAGTAGCCAGGAATCAACACCAACTCCTCATATGTCAACGCTCTTGGGCAAAAACATCCGGTTCCTCGCTCAATCTACAGTTGGGATTGTCGCCATGTCCTTCAACGGCACTTGAAATCTTCCAGTTGACTGTAAAGCACGGTGGTTAAGACTCGAATCACGAACGCCGTTGCTGACTATGCCAAAACAAGCCGTCCTTGACCCGGTTGTCTTCAGATCTAATGATAGAACATACTTTTACAATGCCTAGGATAATTACAGAGCTCTGTACCTGAACGCAACCGGGAAGAGTTTGTGTTTCTCCATCTCTCAGAGAAGATGAGTCCTACCATGAAGTTCGAACCACGACCCTTGACCTTTCTCCCTGCGGGTGCTTGTTATAGCGCTACACTCTTTCCTCAATGCGCAGATGCCTCTCAGCAGTGGTGCGGCCCACAGCTAATTCTCAGAGCAACTCCATCGGAATTCAATACAAGCTAGGCACATGGGAAAGGGATCCATGCTTTTCCCCGAATTAATTTCCTTCGTGAAATACGACTTCATTCGACAATCCTCCTCTTCGCTTCAGCTCGCTGATAGACATGATTTAAGCTGATTATTTCTGATTACATTAATCAAGCAATCACTTCATCTGTAATCACGAGCATACGTGAAAAGTCTGTAATTTGTTGCCTTATGTTTTATTTATACGGTTGCAGTTGTAAATTCATCTGGTTACTCTCATTCTCTTTCTCAATCTCTTTTCTATCTCTGTATGTAGAATTGCACAACATAATCGCAGAAAGTAAGTCCAACAGCCATTTTTAAGCTGAAGTGTGTCATTTATGCACCAAACACAAAATAATAATTCTTCAAATAGGTTTTATCTGCCATTGGGCAGGCAAACAGATAGCCCCGCCCCAAACTCATGCTATTGGTTGAGCCAGTGATAGATGGTCGGGATGCTCAAGCAAACTGCAATTATTAATTAACTAATTAATTAAAGGGATACTTGCAGAGGTGTGACCAAGTCGTTGTTTTGCAAGTCACAAGTAAGTCTCGAGTCTTTGCATTCAATTCTCGAGTCAAGTCCCAAGTCAAGTCCCGAGTCAAGACAGGCAAGTCCAAGTCGAGTTGCAAGTCCTCAACTTTTAGCTTCAAGTCTTAAACAAGTCATTAGTGCTTTTTGCCTAAATTAGTGTCTCAGAATTAATTACCATATCAAATGTATAGTAATTTATATCAGGAAGGCGGGTAGAATATGTTTGACATAGTTCCATTTCATGTGAGATGGGTGCCCTTAGTAAAACTACTCGGTTTCAGTTTAGGGATTGTGCCAAAATAGGACAAGCAGTGGAAAAAAATAAAAATAAAAAAAACATTTTATTAGTAACAGAATAGCTAAAACAACAGAATTTCATAGAAATACAGCTGCAACATACTTTGCATGTGTGCTTAAGAATATATGCTTCTGGTGTTATATCTAAGCCAATGAGCCATTATTTGGAACCGCAATGAAATAGATTTAAAAACATGTGAGCGGAAACAGAAAGAACTGCTTTGAAAGAGAACTTTTGAAAGTCTTCTTTAATTATGTCGAGTCGAGTCGCAAGTCATCACATTTGGGACTCGAGTCCGAGTCAAGTCTTGAGTCATGTGACTCGAGTCCACACCCCTGGATACTTGACCCAAAAATGAAAATTCTGTCACCAGTTACTCACCCTCAAGGTTTTCCAAGCCTGTATTTTTATGAACACAAAAGAAAATATTATGAAGAATGCAACCAAACAATTGCTGGTAGCCACTGACTTCCATAGTTTGGGGAATAAAATACTATGGAAGTCAATGGCTAACAGCAACTGTTTGGTTTAACAACACTCTTCAAAATATCTTCTCGTGTTCAATGGAAGAAAGAAATTCAAACAGGTTCGGAACAACATGAGGGTAAGTAAACGATGATAAAATTTTCATTTTGAAGTAAACAATCTCTTTAACACTGCTATTATGTTTACACTTTTTCAAGAAATCAGCTGAGAAATGGCTCACTTGCTAGTAAATTCCACAAATAATTACAAAGAATTGGCAAACATTGTACTATACATGAAAGTAGAAAGACTGAAATAGTATTTCCTTGTCAAATGTCCTCCAATAATCTTTGTTTATTTACAGCTTTGAAAAATCAGGTTTTGCAGTGTTGTTGTCTAAGCTGAATGACTAGAAAGCATTTTTAAAGTACTTAAAAATGACACACTTGAGTTTAAAGCTATAATATTCTTCCAGGTTTTAACTTGAACACAATTACTTCAGGCTCAATGATAATCACAAAGCAAACTGAGGCAATAAAATAAAGCAATCAACGGTTTAAGTCATCTAAACCAGACTGTCTCTTTAAATCATGGTGTTACAGCAGCATTGCAAACAGACCCATTCACAGTCAATGGGACCTGCCTGACAGGGAAGTTTCCTCAAAGTAGCAAGCGTGCAGTGAGCACCAGGTATATGCTGACATGCCCGAAAACCCAAAATCTGTGACAGTGTTGTGTATTAAATTCTGCTCCATCTGAAAGCACGTGATGATGATTTCCTGCTGATTACAGAACCGGCATTACTATCAAAATGCGCATGACAATCGCATTCGATTAATCGTGTAGCCCTAGTGTTACCAGGTTTGCAGATTAAAAAAAGGCCCAGAGTTTGTTTTAGCAGAGCTTTAGTCAGTTATTTGTGAAGAAAGAGGATCAGGGGCAACGTCAACTCAACTGGGATTATGCAGGTCTATTACATTCGGCTTAAGGTTTCTGTCAAAATCTCTGCTCGGAGCAGTTCCACCCGGGCCTGCCAGAGGCTGGAAACTGAATGAGGGACAGTGATCTCAGAATGGGATGGTTTAAACCAAGCTACCGGAAACAAACGTCAGTACATACAAATAGAGAAAAATAATGACTTGAATGATTAATCATTAATGAAAGTCAAAGGGTGGCGATGAGAATGGTGAATGTAAAAATAATGATAAAGCAATGAAGGATGAATAATAAAATAATATAAACTTCAAGAGCCAAAGTGAACTTTGCGCAAATGCTTGGTTAAAGCAACAAATGATTTTCTTATTCACAAGAACAAGACAAACAGGTTTAGCATAACCACCACAAAACATATTAAGGAAGCAAGGCATCCACAGTGTAGGCTACCTCAATGGTGGTTCTTTACATTTTTTTCTTAACACCTTAAAAACCACGAAGACTTTAAAATACATTTCTACAGGGTTCCAACACTTCCTAACCAAAGATTTACCTGACTTTTCCAGTCAAAACCAAGGGAGCGGCTGTTTCTAACTAATGCTGACTGAAGTAAAAAATTACATTGGCTTTGATTTAGCATATAATCACTGGAGCAACACTGACTGACAGGACAGCACCATAGAGAAAGACAAAACCGTTCTCATTCTTCACTTTTCCTGAACAAAAACTTTAAAAGGTAACGAGAATTGGCTAGCAGTTACTCAATGACAGATTTTAAACGCCATGGCAAATAAAAAGCACAGTTATAGGATACTTACACTAATGCTCTCATATGCTTAGCTAAAGTCTGTGGAAACATCGTGATCTTAAAGCAAAGTAAACGTTTTGATTCTTAAGCAAGCATGCCAAGATCATGCTTTTCAGTGAGTAACTTACCACTGTTACATTAGCAGAGCATGATAAATGGGGGGATACAGTGTACAAAAATAACTTCGTGATCATTTCGCCAAGTAGGTAATGAGCATTTGAAAATTATACAGTTGAGTCACATATAAAACAGAGTCACATAAACTTGAACGAAATTAGGCTATATACGCAACTTATCACCACAGCATTGAAAGACTCGCAAATGTCAAGCGTTCACCCAATTTCACTGGAACCATAACTCAAGTTTTTTTTTTAAGAAACTTTGCTGAAAGTGCTCGTTCAAAATAGATTATTCAACTAAATGTACGTACCTGTGCAAACGTGTATAACTGCGATAAATAGCACGAATCCAATAACTCTCCCCGTCATCGTTCAAATATTCGCGTTTAGGGAACTGTGTGTAATCCGCAAAAATAAAAATAAAAAAGATGAAAATAAATCAGAGTTTTGTGCGTTTTTGATCCTTCATAATATCCTAATGCAATATGTTTCTGTTTTCCAGAATACACAAACAGTGCAAACGTGTATAACTGCGATAAATAGCACGAATCCAATAACTCTCCCCGTCATCGTTCAAATATTCGCGTTTAGGGAACTGTGTGTAATCCGCAAAAATAAAAATAAAAAAGATGAAAATAAATCAGAGTTTTGTGCGTTTTTGATCCTTCATAATATCCTAATGCAATATGTTTCTGTTTTCCAGAATACTTGAGTGTAACGCAAATTTGCTGTTTTTTTTTCTTTAAAGGTCCCCGTTAATCTGATAGTAATCCAGTTTATTTGTATTCAAACACACACTCCATGAGTCCAAAATGAATGAAAAGCTCGAAATCAATCGCAAAAAAGTTTTAAAAAACCGTGAAATATTTTGAAATGACCTCCAAAAGAATAATAAGTCTGCAAGCGCAGAGCTGATCACTTTGTATCCGCTGATCGCATCCCAAAAGATCCCATAGAAAGCCAGTGAAAAGAAAAGAACTCGAACTCTTTTCCAAAGTTCTAAATGTAATAAGGTCCCCAGCCTAGAAAAGCGACCAGTGTCACATCGTTCAGAAACAACGTGAATAAGTCATTTCGAACTCAGAAACTTCAGTTTCCATTGGAACAGCAGAAGCTGATGCTGAAGAATTTGCTGACTGAAGTCCATTGGATGTAGATCACTTCCACTTTTCCATTGCTTTGTAAATTCAAATGTAATTCCAATATTTCCCCTCTATTGTTTTTTCCTCTCCTTTCAGTTTTTCCCTCAGTGTTTCAATATTTGGATCTATGCATTGAGGTCCCCCGTCACTTCGGGCTGAGGGGATTTGAAACAACGGTACTTCATTCAAACAGCATGAATAGTAAACGGCATGGTATGTCCCAGGCTCCCCCTCCGAGGACTGAACAATGGATTGTTCCTAGGGAGAATCAACCTCAGTGTTGCCAGTTCCGCTTAGAATCGACTTGGTTTTTATTTATTTATTTTTTAGAAAGTCTTTTCATAAAACGTGTGCACTTCGCATTTCTCAAATGTTTAAAACGACTAACATTTAGTAACTAATAGTAACTTGTATTTGCTTGATAAAAAAAAAAAACAGTGTAATTCAACACATAAAAGAAATGAGCTATCTAATAGAATGTTTACAAATTTACAAAGTCATTATAAGTCATTTTAAATATTTTTGTAAAAGGATATATTATTGAAAAGACACTTTAACGTAATACAGACCCACGGTGTATTTTATGCAAGTTTATGCTACAAAAAAGCAGATGAATAAAATCAAATAATTACATTTGTACCGTTTTCCAGAGAGATCTGGCAACACTGATTAACCTCTTCAGTGCGGCTTCGCCTGTGAAAGAAACGGTTCCCTCAAGGCAAGAGTGTGTTTGATCAAACTTTAATGAATTTACATTTTAAACGACATTCCCCGCTTTGGTGAAACAGAATAATTTGCTCTTAATTATTTTAAAAGGCGACGCATTTATGTGGATTTACAGAGTAGTTTATTTGCATATCTATTGGAAAGGCTGGATTCACATTGGTTCGTGTGCGTTTTTGTCTTTATCTACAAAATTGCATTTGTTGAACTCATATGCCTCTATTAAGGTTGTGGTTTATTATAATTTTTTAATGTTTTACTTAAGAAAATATCTTTTGAAGGAGTAATTGTACAGGGATGTGCGACTCTCCACATTCATCTACAGGCGCGCCATACGTAACCCAACAGCGCCCTCTGCTGGTCTCCACTACACTGCAGCCAATTTCAAAGAGATTTTAGAATACGAAAAAATACAGCTATAGGAACATAAATAAGACATATTTTGGGGACTTTACAATTGTATATCTTAAATCTAAAAGTCAATTATAATTATTATTAATGTCTGTTTGCATGTGTTCCTATACCTCATTTTCCTTCACTGGGCCTCTTAAATTCAACACAAATCCGTTGCACACACATGCATTTCTCATCTAAATTCACCTCAGCTCCAGTGAATTCACAAAATAGAATGTAATCAAATAATCCACCACAACAAATATACTAACAAACAGACAAAATGTAATTCTGAGTAAAATGCACAACATATACTAAAATAGTCTCTAAACTTTTATCTTTTTTAATATAAAGGAGAGTGAAAACCAGACAGGACTGGGAATGATTAAAAATTTTAATTGCAACTTAATACAAATTCTAATATGTGAAAATGTGATATCTACACATTCTTTATTCTGTGTAGTTTCCACATTTTAGGATAATTATTAAAACTAAAGAACACAAATGCCATGGGAATTACGTAGTGACAAAAAATGTAAATTTATTTTTAGATTCTTCTCCACAAATACACTCTCTGTTCCAAGTCATCCATTTAAAAATGCCTTTAGATTCA